GCTGCTCCTCTCTCTGCCTTTGGAAAGGATTAGCCTATGCCTTCCTGAAACCACCCATGCCGTTCGTGCCCTACATTCCCAAGCTCGGGGGCCCTCCATTCCCACCCAGTGCCATCGCTGCTTGGGAGGCTGACAAGAGTTTGATTCTGCCCTATCCACACCAGCACATTCAAAATGTTTGAACAGCCTCAACCAGTCCAAACCCGCACCACCGCGGCCACCTCAATCCTATTTGTCCCAGCCCTTCCTCCGGCTACACTGACTTCAGGACAGGAAACAAGTGATTCTCGAAACCCTGGCTTAGCCTGGGACTGGCTCAACCTGAAGTTGTAAAAATGCATGGCTCCCACCATGCTTATTGAGACCCACAGGCCTCTGACCTCAGGTGCCCGGAGCTGCCATTTTACTGCAGTCCAGCTTGAAGTCAAGGGAGTTCTACCAAGGGCCCCACCCACCCATGCCTCCACCATATCACCACCAGGCGGCTCCTGAGTCAGGCCAAGTGCCTCATCCACCCATCCATTCCCTCCTGCCCACTTCTCAGATGAGCAGAAGGGGAATACAGAACAGAGGCACTTGCTTGCCAGCCAGGTACACTACCTCTGATCCCAGCAGAAGAAAGCTGAGCAAAAGTAGCTCAATACCAGCCTGAGCTGCATCTTGAAACCGTGTCTGAAAGAAAGTCCTGCACCCATACCCAGGACCACTGGCTCTGTGCACTGCCGGTAACAGTCAGAACCCAGTCCTCCCCCTACAGCAATGTTTGCCACTTCCCTTTGTCCTCCAAAGAACGAGAGAGGCCATGGAGAGACTGCAGCTTTTTCAGAGAAGGACTCAAGGGCTCTAGGCCGCCACCCACCAAAGGACTGAAGCCACTGTCTAGTCACAGCTACTTCATTCATGTCCTAGAACCGAAAGCTGGAGGCTCGGGAATGGACCTGGATGGAAACCCTAGCTCAAAGGCCTGGAGAGGAAAAGGATGGGGCACCCTCTCCTTCAGAGAAGTGGGAGCTGGATGCTGGGAATTTATAAGTTTTTTTTTTTTGTTTTTTTGGTCGGCCATGGTGCTTGAACTCGGCCTGGGCGCTGTCCCTAAGCTCTTCAGCTCAAGGCTAGCGCTGTACCACTTGAACCACAGCACCATTTCCAGTTTTCTGGTGGTTTATTGGAGCTAAGAGTCTCATGGACTTTTCCTGCCCGGGCTAGCTTTGAACCAAGATCCTCAGATCTCAGCCTCCTGAGTAGCTAGGATTACAGGCATGAGCCACCAGCACCTGGCTTATGCTTTTAATCTTAGCTACTCAGGAGGCTGAGATCTGTGGATCTCAGTTCGAAGCCAGCCCAGGACAAGTCCCCAATTAACCAAAAACTGGAAGTGGAGCTGTGGCTCAGAGCACTAATTAGCCTTGAATGAAAAGAGCTCAAAGATAGCACCCAGGCTGAGTTCACACCCCACAACTGGGGAAAAAAAGCCTCTAGCACTCATCCACACCACTGAGTTTCCTAGGCTCTGCTCCTGCTCTTGCCCACGACCATAGATAGCTACAGGGAGCCAGTTAAGACCAAATCAACCTCCCCTGCTAGAAACCCAGCATGTGACTCCACGTTGAGTCTCCTGGAATTAACTCCTTGTCTGGCTTCAAACATCAATGCTCAGACCAGAGCCTTCCAAGTGTCTAGGATTATAGGTGTAAACACTGGTATACCCAAGCCATTGGCACCCAGCTCTGCTTTCCTCTTCCTCTCCCCTCTTTTTCTTGGTTTGAATTCAGTACCTTGAAATCTAAGCTTGCCATCGGCATTCAGCTCCTCTCTCCTATCCCAATCTTCCCTTTCCCTCCCCGCTACCTCGTGCTCATGACCTTGAGCTTACAGCTTGTGCTCTACCACTTGAGCCATGCCTCCAGTCACATTTTGCTGGACAGAATATCAGACATTTCTACCCAGGCTAGCTTTGAACCACAATCTTCAGGTCTTCCTGAGTGGGATTATAAGCATGAGCCACTGGTTCCTGGCTCAGTATCTTCTTTTTTATGTGTGCCAGTAGTAGAACTTGAACTCCAAGCCTCACCTGCTTGCTTTAGCTTTTCATTCAAGTCTGGTAGTCCATCACTGGAGCCGCAACTGTACTTCTGGCTGTTCGCCCGTCTCAAGGACTTTCCTGCCCAGGCTGGCTTCAAATCACAATTTCCAGATCTGATCTCAGTCTCCTGAGTAGCTAGGATTATAGGTGTGAGTCACCAGCACCTGGCTTGACAATGATGTTTAAACTTTTTTTTTTTTTGGTTGTGGGGCTTGAACTCTGGGCCTGGGCGCTGTCCCTGAGCTCTTCAGCTCAAGGCTAGTGCTCTACCACTTGAGCCACAGCGTCACTTTGTTTTCTGGTGGTTAATTGGAGAAAAGAGTCTCACGGACTTTCCTGCCTGGGCTGGCTTTAAACTGAGATCCTTGTTACTCAGCCTCCTGAGTAACAAGGATTACAAGTGTGAGCTACCAGCGCCCGGCCAAAGGTACGACTTTTTTTTTTTTTTTTTTGGTCCGGTTGTGGGGCCTGAACTCTGGGCCTGGGCGCTGTCCCTCAGCTCTTCAGCTCAAGGCTAGCGCTCTACCACTTGAGTCACAGCGCCACTTCCGGTTTTTTTCTTTTTGTTTATGTGGTGCTGAGGAATCGAACTCAGGGCCTCAGGTATGCAAGGCAAACGCTCTACCACTGAGCCAACTTCCCAGCCCAGGTACAACTTTTTTTATTGAAGTATAATGGGCTAGAACATGAAATTGCTCACTGGTTAGTCACCATCCCAAGGTTGGAGGAAATTTACTGAATTACATTGACCTCTAGAGCCTGATCTATTGGCCTGGGTGGGTAAGTTAAAGATTTATTATTCCAAGCCAGTGCCTGTGGCTCACACCTGTAATCCTAGGGACTTACAGCTGAGATCAGGGGGACTGCATTCAGCCTAAGGAGAAAAGTCTATGAGACTCCATTCCAAGACAACAGCCGAAAAGCTAGGTGGGAGGTAGCCCAAGTGGAGTGTGAAGACTTTAATTCAAACCTTGATACACCTTAAGAGTGAATTGAACAAGCCAGGTGCTGGTGGCTCTCCCCTGTATTCACAGCAGCTACTCAGGAAGCTGAGATCTGAGGATGGAGGTTCAAAGCTAGCTCTAGCAAAAAAAAAAAAAAAAAAGGAAGGAAGGAAAAAAAAGAAAAAATCTCTAAGAGGTTTATCTTCAATTAACCAGTTCTAGGCCCTGAATTCAAATACCAGTGTTGGGATGCACACACTGAGATGCACATAAGCACACACACACACAAAAAAAGATTGAATAGAACTTTTCTTCCATCTTTAGGTGGGTAGGGACTCAAAAACCATTTGTGACATCCATGATTTTGGTGAATATAACCTGTGTGTTGGGATATTTTTTCTTTCTTTCTTTGGTCAGTCTTGGGGCTTTAACAACCTGAGCTCTTTTTGCTCAAAGCTAGCACTTTACCACTTTGAGCTACAGTTCTACTTCTGGTTTTTGAGTGGTAACTGGAGATAAGAGTCTCATGGGGACTCTTCTGCCCAGGCTGGCTTTGAACCACAAGCCTCAGGTCTCAGCCTCCTAAGTAGCTAGGATTCATTACAGGCCTGAGCCACTGGCCCCTGACTGAGCTGTTTTCCTCAAAGATCTTTGACCTCTTCTTCCATGATTAGGATCCCTTAGTGTTTGCCCATGTGCCACAGACACCTCTGTTTTTTGTGTTGGTCCTGGGACTTGAACTCTGGGCACTGTCCCTGAGCTTTTTTGCTCAAGGCCAGTGCTCTAATACTTGAGTCACAGCTTCACATCCTGCTTTGTTGCTGATTAATTGAAGATAGTCTGGGCTGGGAAGTTGGCTCAGTGGTAGAGCGCTTGCCTTGCATGCCTGAGGCCCTGGGTTCGATTCCTCAGCACCACATAAGCAAAAAGAAAAAAGCCAGAAGTGGCGCTGTGGCTCAAGTGGTAGAGCGCTAGCCTTGAGCTGAAGAGCTGACAGTGCCCAGACCCAGAGTTCAGGCCCCACGACCGAACCAAAATATATATTATATATATATATATATAATATATATATATATATATAATATATAAGCTGGTTTCAAACTCTGCTCCTCAGATCTCAGCCTCCTGAGCAGCTAGGATGGCAGGCGGCAGCCACTGGCATCGGCTCAGAAGATCCTCTGGCCTTTAAATGAGGGCGTCCCCTAGCCAGTCACCTTCAAACCCCAGCTCCACCGCTGCTCTCCAGCCTGGACCTGTGTGAAGGGCACAGAGTAGGCCTGGCACACAGTAGGAGCTTCATTAAATTCAGCTCTGAGCATCTGAGCGGCAGCAGGGGGCAGGGTTTCCCGGTGGTGCCGGCCCTCGGCCTCGGCCCGAGCCCAGCGGGGTTAGCCGTCTCCACGCCACGCAGCTCTGCCCGCCAGACCCTCAGAGGGCCTGGGCCAGGCCCCCGCCCCCCGCGCCTCGGCGGGTCCCCATCGCCCGGGGGCGCCGGCCCTGCGGGAGGGGGCCCGGCTATCTGGCCGCGGGGTGGGAGGTGACTCTGCAGCCGGGGAGCCCTATCGCTTCCTGCATCCCAGGAACCGGCTGAGCCGCAGCCTCTGCCCGGGAAGGCCGCCGTCCCCCGGGGAGGGTGGACAACTAAAAGCGTCCACCTCTTCCTTTAGGAAACCAAAGGAAGGAGGACGGAGCGGACGGCGGCGGCGGCGTGGGAACCCTGATAGCGCAGCACCCCGGGATTCCAGGCCTCACCGGGCGGGACGAGCTCAAGTCCTCCCGCTCCTCTCGCTCCGCCGCCCAGGAAAGGCGCGGCCCCTTTAAGAGCGCGCGGCCCCGCCCGGCCCTCCGGGCCGGATCCGAATTCCAGGGGGGCGGGGCGGAGACGCGGCGGCGCGGCGCGGCCGCGGGCGGCAGCAGCGGCAGCAGCCGGGATCCAGCGGGCTTCGGGCGGCGCCTCTCTGCGGCGGCCCGGCCCGGCCCGGCCCCGCCGGGGCGATGCTGCCCGGGGCCGCGGCGGGATGAGCCAGGTGAGCGCGGGGACCCCCCCCCCCCGGGCCCGGGATCCGTCGCCGCGCGCGCTGGGTCGTGGCCGGGCGGAGGCGTCCCCAGCCTGGGCGCCGTCGCGAAGGCTGTGTGACCTTGGGCGGCCCCGCACCGTCTCTGGGCCGGGCCCCGCCGGCCCCACCGAGGCTCGCGGAAGGGAAGCCGTTCTGGATGCCCACCCCGGCCGGGGGCGCTGGGGAGGCTTCTCGGGGGAGGCGGGGCCTGGGCCCCGCCGGCCAGGCTGCGGGGATCCCCGCCGAGCTCGGCCTCGCGTCGCGAGCGCCCCGACCCCTCCCCTCCGGAGCCTCAGTTTCCCTGTCTGTCAAGTGGAGATCAGATCGCCACGCGCCCAGCTGTGGTCGCCAGCCGTGGTTAAGCTGTGCCGCCTTTTTACGGTGGTTCCCGGGGAGCCCCTGCGGGGAGGGCGGCGCGGCGGAGCCGGGGAGGCTTTGTGGGCGCCTGCGCCGGGCCGAGGTCCCGACCGGGCCGCCCCCCCCCCCGGCGCTGGGGCCCCGGGAACCGACCTATGGGGACGGGGTCTCCAGCCACCCCGGGCCGTGCTCCCCGAGCCACGCCGCGCGCGGCGTTGGTGCTCACCACGGCCCCGCGCTGCCGCCGGCCGCCCCTGAGCCCGACCCGTGTCCCCGCTTACAGTGACGCGCCTGGCCCCGGGCATGGCGGACCCAGCGGCGGGCATCGCGGGCTCGGCCGCCAAGAGCGTGCGGCCCTTCCGCTCCAGCGAGGCCTACGTGGAGGCCATGAAGGAAGACCTGGCCGAGTGGCTCAATGCCTTGTACAGCCTGGGCCTGCCGGGCGGCGGGGATGGCTTCCTGACCGGCCTGGCCACGGGTACCACCCTGTGCCAACATGCCAACGCTGTCACCGAGGCCGCGCGGGCCTTGGCTGCCGCCCGCCCAGCCCGAGGTGTGGCCTTCCAGGCCCACAGCGTGGCTCCCGGCTCCTTCGTGGCCCGGGACAACGTGGCCACCTTCATCGGCTGGTGCCGCTCGGAGCTGGGCGTGCCCGAGGTGCTCATGTTCGAGACCGAGGACCTGGTGTTGCGCAAGAACGAGAAGAGTGTGGTGCTGTGCCTGCTGGAGGTGGCCCGGCGCGGGGCCCGCCTGGGCCTGCTTGCCCCCCGCCTGGTGCAGTTCGAGCAAGAGATCGAGCGGGAGCTGCGCGCCGCGCCCCCGGCCTGCGACCCCTCGGCGGCCGGGGACAATGTCATCGAGACCCTCCCTGCGCCCGAGGCGCCCACGCGTGGGCCCCGAATGACGCCCAGTGACCTGCGCAACCTCGATGAGCTGGTGAGCCATGGGGTCGGCCAGGCCCCCGTCCCCCCACCGCAGCCCCCCCCACCTGTCCCTGCGTGTCCGTCTCCTGGGCTCCTGGCATCTGCAGGCCAGCCTGCTGCATGGAAAGGGTGCATATGCTAAACGCCAAGTGTATAGTAGTAGTAGGCCCAGCGAGGAGACTCTTGGCTCCTGCATCTCTTTTCCATACTAAAGCTGCACTCAAGTCTGTCTGCTTTCTTAATCTGGGCTCCTCCTCTGCCCTCTCTTGCAACCTTCATCTCAGGGTTTAATGGGTGCTGCCTTGGCTGAGAGACAATGAGTGCTTGGGAGGCGGCCCCCCCCCCCCCTAATGGGAACCAGGCGGCCTGTTGGGAGTTGCTAAAGGAGTTTGAACTTAGGAAGTCCCCGGTCCCCAGCTCCCTCTTTTCCCAGGGCCTAGGTGTCCCTGCCACCCCCGCAGCAGCTGTGCCAAGAGTTTCTTTCTTATCAGGAGCTTAGGACTAGGCTGTGCCTGCCCGGGAGGTGGGTATTATCGGGATGGCGGTGGCTGTGGGCAGAGCCGTCCCCCACCCCCAGCCTGGGCCCGGGTCACTGGAGGCCCCACCTGCTCATTTCCTGCGGCGCCACTGTGGGTGAGGAGGCGGGCAGGGCCTCCCGCACAGCCAGCCTGGCAGCCCCAGCCTGGGGTGACATGTGTGCAGCTGTGAGCTCGCCAGGAGGGTGGCCTGCGTGCCCCATCGGACGTAGTCTGGTTCTCTGCCAGGGGCACACAGGTGCCCTTCCACCCGCTCCTCCCAGGGCCCGGCCTCTATGGACCTTGGCAAAGGGGGAGGGCATCCATGGTTCACTGGGCACCGAGGCTCTGGCCTCATCCTGGCCAGCTTCGTGGACTCGGAGCCAAGAAGGGGAAGGTGTGGGGAGGGGAGGCTGTTGGAGGCATCCAGGATTTCCAGTTCGAGGCCAGTCTGGGCCACCCAGTGAGACCTGTCTCCAAAAAACACAAGCTAGGAAAGGGAAGACAAGCCGGTGGAAAAAACGTGTCCGAGGCAGCACAGTGCCAGTTTTCCCCGGAAGGACTTCCTTCTTGACCCCAGAGCAGCTGACTGTCCTTGGGCAGCAGAGGGAGGGACCCGACCCTTGACCCGCAGCCTGTGGTCACAGGTGAGGGAGATCTTGGGCCGCTGCACCTGCCCGGACCAGTTCCCCATGATCAAGGTGTCGGAGGGCAAGTACCGCGTGGGAGACTCGAGCCTGCTCATCTTCGTGCGGGTGAGTGGCGGGGGCGGGGCCTGGAGTGGCGGGGGCGGGGCCGGGCGAGGGGCGGGGCCGGGCGAGGGGCGGGGCCGGGCGGGCCACCGACACAGCCTCGACCCTCGACCCGCGCGGGCGCAGGTGCTGCGGAGCCACGTGATGGTGCGCGTGGGCGGCGGCTGGGACACGCTGGAGCACTACCTGGACAAGCACGACCCGTGCCGCTGCGCTTCCACCGGTCAGAGCCGGGCCGGCCGGGCGGGCGGGCGGCGGGCGCGCGCGGCGCCCCGGGCCCGGGCCCTCACACCCCGCTTGTCCTCTCCCCACAGCCCACCGCCCGTCCCAGCCGCGGGCCCCGACCTTCTCCCCCCAGAGGGTGTCCCCCAGCCCCAGCCCCCGGCCTGGCAGCCCCGTCCCCGGCAGTGAGCGTCGGGGCTCCCGGCCCGAAGTGACTCCCATTAGTTTACGAAGCACAAAGGAGGGGCCCGAGCCCCCGCTCAGGTGAGCCCCGGGGCGGGGCCGTGGAAGGGGCGGGGCCGTGGAAGGGGCGGGGCCGGGGCGGGAGGCGCGGGGCGGGGCGGGAGGCGCGGGGCGGGGCGGCGCGGGCCGGGGCGGGAGGCGCGGGGCGGCGCGGGCCGGGGCGGGAGGCGCTGCGCGGGGTGGCGCGGGCCGGGACGCGCTGGGGAGGGAGGCGCGGGCCGGGGCGGGCCGGGGCGGGAGGCGCGGGGCGGCGCGGGCCGGGGCGGGAGGCGCTGCGCGGGGTGGCGCGGGCCGGGGCGGGCCGGGGCGGGAGGAGCGGCGCGGGGCGGCGCGGGCCGGGGCGGGAGGCGCGGCGCGGGGTGGCGCGGGCCGGGACGCGCTGGGGCGGGAGGCGCGGGGCGGGCGGGCGCGCGCGCGCGGTGACTCACCGCCGGGAAAGGTTCCCGCGGGCGGGGGCGGCCCGGCTTCCCGTCTCCACGGCAACCGCACCAAACCAACAACACGGCCGGGGCGGGTCCCGGAGCCTGGGCAGCGGCCAGGCCAACCCGGCTTCCTCCCAGCGCGGCCCGGGGGGACCCGCGGGGGAGGGGGGGCGCCCCGCAGACCTCGTTTCCTCCCGCTGCTCGCCGGGCCCTGAGCGGCCGCAGGAAGCGGCTCCGAGGCTCACTTCTCCCCGAAAGCCCCGGGTCGGAGGCCTCCTCGCCAGCTCCCACCAGCACTGACCACACCTGCCCCCCTCGGCGCGCCGGTGATGCCCCCCCTCTTGTTCCCCAACCCCAGGCCCCGGGACCAGCTGCCCCCCCTGCCCCGCTCCCGCCGCTACTCCGGGGACAGCGACTCCTCCGCCTCCTCCGCCCAGAGCGGCCCCCTGGGCGCCCGCAGTGACGACGCGGGCACCGGCGCCCGGAGGGAGCGGCCCAGCCGGCGGCTGACCACCGGCACCCCGGCCTCCCCACGACGGCCGCCCGCCCCCCGCAGCCAGTCCCGGGAGCGGCCGGACCGGGGGCGTCCCCGCGCGGCCCCCGGCGGCGGCCGGGGAGCGCAGCTGGCGGCCCCCGGCCCCGCCCGGCGGGCCCGCAGCCAGAGCCGAGACGACCAGGCCGCCGTGCTGCTCGTGCGCCGGGACCGGGACGGGCAGCACTCGTTCCTGCCCCGGGGCCGGGGCGGCGGGGGCTCGGGCAGGTGCACCCCGCAGACTCCGCGTGCCCGCAGCCCCGCGGCGCCCCGGCCGCCCCGCGTCTCCAGCCCCGCTCCCGAACTGGCTGCCACACCCGCCAGCCTCTTCCGCACACCCCTGCAGCTTGACCCGCAGCAGGAGCAGCAGCTGTTCCAGCGCCTGGAAGAGGAATTCCTGGCCAATGCTCGCGCCCTTGAGGCTGCTGCCAGCGGGACCCCCACCGGACCTGCCCCCGACCCGGCTAGGGCCCCGGATCCTCCGGCACCCGACTCGGCCTACTGTTCGTCCAGCTCTTCCTCTTCCTCGCTCAGCATCCTGGTTGGCAAGTGTGGGCAAGCGGGGGACTCCGGCCGGACAGCCAACGGGATGCCTGGGCTCCGCAACCAGGCCCTATCCAGCTCTTCCGACGAAGGCGGCCCTTGCCTTGGCATGGGGGCGCCCCTAGATGCACTTGGGAGCCCCCTGCCGGGCCCAGAACCCACAAGGACCTGGGCACGGGGCCGGATGGACACACAGCCAGACCGTAAACCCTCCCGCATCCCCACGCCTCGGGGCCCCCGCCGCCCGTCCGAACCCGCGGAGCTCGGGGCCTGGCAAGCCCTTCACTCTGTCACCCCGAGAGATGAGCCAGATTCCTGAATGTGATGGATCATTCCAGCTGCTCCCCAAACCCACTCCTTGTTATTTTCCTTTGTGGCCTTAACCTGCCCTTTGCATCAGGGAGCCCCCTACATACCAGACCTCACGGGACCAGACCCCTCGGGACCACGCGGCACAATGGGACCTGCTGTACATTCCGGTTGGGGGGGATGAGCATTGCTATTTAATTACTAATATTATTGAATGCCTTAGAGGAGGCCGGCCCAGCCCGGTGTCCTGAGGACCAGCGGTTCAGCAGAGCCTCTGACAGTAAAGTTTTGCTCCAGCCACCTGTCTGTTTTTGGCCATTGCAACCCTCATTACAAGTTGGGATTCTGGTGTTCACTGCTATTATGGATTCATCCCTGGCACCTCTGACCTCCTGGGTCAAACTCCCAGGTGCGCTTAAATTGTTTTTTATTACCTCGTGAGAGGCGTGGCTTAAAAAGTGCGTCCAAAGAAGCTCCAGGAGCAGTCTGAGTGCTTCTAATCACATTCATAGTCGAGTCTTTAATCAGTGGGGCAGCGACCCAATGAAGTCCCAGAAAAGACTGATCTTATCCAATGGGGCGTGGGTCTGGCTGGGTCCAATGAAGTTCAAAGAGAAGCCTGTTGCCTAGGAGACGGGGCGGGACCTCCGGTTGTCCAATCGGGGAGGAGATCGCGCTGTCCGCTCACATGAGGCTGCAGCGCGCCGGGTGCAGCGCCCCCTGCAGGCGCAGGGCCGGGTGCGCAGGGCGGGCACGCACCAGGGCGCAGCGCAGGAGCTCACGGAAGAGACGCAGCACGTGCCAGTTGTACTTGGCCGAGCACTCGAGGTAGCCGCAGCGCCATCCCCGGCGCACCAGGGCGGCCAGCGCACGCCGAGGTCCGAAGCGCAGGCGCTGCCGGTCCCGCTTGTTGCCAACCACCAGGATGGGAGCCTCGGGAGCGCCCGCCGGCCTAGGTAGTGGCCAGGATAGGGAGCCAAGCGCGGGGCTGAGGACTCCGCCCCCACGAGTGTTCCCCACGCAGGCGCATTCCCTACCATGCCAGGGACCCACCCCCAACACACACCAGACTCGGGTGTGCCAGAGACCTCGTACAAACGGAGACCTTTCCCCGGGCAAAGGCCTGAGCCAGAACCCCGCCCCCCACCCCAGACCCAGCCAACGACGGGGACGCCGCCTGCCGCCCCGCGCGCAGGCCCCGCCCGCAGCCCCGCCGCCCCGCGGCCGCGCGCCCACCTGTTCTCCGCGATGCGCTGCCGCAGGGCCTTCACGTAATCGAAGCTGTCCGGGCTGCAGATGTCGTAGACCAGCACAAAAGCGTCCGTGTCCTGCAGGCTCCAGTCCTTAGGGTCCGGCCACTCCTGGGGGCGGAGGCCAGGGGATGCGGGAGTCGTCTTCCTGCTCCCTAACTCTGCTGGCGCGTGACGCCAAACCCCACAGTTCGCCCTCAGGCCTCAGTGAACCTACAGCCAGCCTCCTCCAAGCTCCGGGCCTCCACCTCACGGCCGCCTGTCGGCCTTCAGCTCTCCTTCACCCCCGGGCCTCCCTTCGCTTCGCTCACCCCAATCTTCCTCTTCCCCAGCTCAGCTCCACCATCGCCACCGCTTACAGCTGCCCGTAAGACGCATGGCCCAGCCCCAGGCCTCAGCCCGCTGCCCGCAGCTGCGCACACCGAAGCCTCCGAGCACCTGCCGCGCTTCCCACCTGGAACGCTTTTACCACTTATTTTTACTTAAAACTCCACCTTTCCAGGTTCAGACCCACCGCCCCCCCCCCCTCCAGCCCGGGGTGTGCATGCTGCCCTGCCTTTTCCTCTCAGCACCGAGGACGGAGGTCTGCCCTGAACCTGGCACCGATCACTAGCCGAGTCTGCCCCAGGTTACAGCAATGAGGGACGATGCCCGGTCGAACACTACCCCCGAGTGTCTCGTCCCAGTTTCTCCCCCTACGGCTCCGTCCAGGGTCCCACACTCGCAGAGGCAGGCAAAGAAAAGAGGCGCAGCCGCGGGGCGGAGGACACGCCCGCCACGGGCGAGATCGCCCTGCGTGGGACGCCCCCAGGCCCGCGGGGGGGCTCCGACACGCGCCGCGAGACGCACAGCCGTCCGTCCGTCCGTCCGTCCCCGCCGACGCCGGCGCGCCCGGGGCTGGCCGCGTGGGCGCGCACGTGGACGGCGAGCGCTCACACCCGCCGCACTGTCGCACTGTCCCCTCCCCTGCCCAGCCCGTGAGCCGCTACCTCATGACCTCCGGGGCTCGGGCCGGGGCCAGCCACGTCCCCGTCCCGGATGCTCAGGTCGTAGACCGCGCCGTCGAGCAGCACCGCGGGCCGGTAGAGGCAGGGACCGTCCGTGGGCCGGTGGCGCTCAGGGTAGTCACCGAACAGGAACTGGCGGATGATGGCCGTCTTGCCCACTCCCGGGGCGCCCAGAACTGCCACCCGCAGGCTGCCCCCCATGGCCGGCCCGCGCTGCCGCGCCCCGCGCCGGGAAGCCTCATGGGCCGGCGCCGCGCCGCGCGCGCCCCGCCGCGCGCCCTGCCCGGTGCCGCCGGCCGCGCCGCGCTCCTCGCCGCCCCCCCGCGACACCCGAGGCCGGAGGAGGACGCGGCGGGCGGCGGCCGGGCAGCCGGTGGCGGACGCGGACGCGCCAGCAGCGGGAGCCGGTGCGGACGCGGCGATGCTCCGGGTGGGAGAAGAGAGCGGCGCCGCGCGCAGACGCCGCCTCCGCCCGCAGCGCGGCCCCGGCCCCAGCCCCGGCCCCGAGCTCCTCGCGGCGCGGCCGGCGTCTCGGTGCCTCCGTCCTTGTCTCGCCCCAGCCGGTGGCGCGAGCGAGAGAACGAGCCGGGCTCCGGGGAGGGAGGCGGCGATGAGGTAACCGCCGCGCCCGCCTCCCCGGCCCCCTCCCGGGAAGGGAGCCCCGGCCGCCGCCCCCTCCGCGCCCGCCACCAGCCGGCGCCCGGAGCCAGGCCGCCCGGGCCGGGTCAGGACCGGCTGGGTGACCTTGGCGGAGTCATCGCACCGCCCTGGGGCTCCGCCCGGCCTCCGGCACAGGCAGAGGCCTCTGAGGCCTTCCCCCAAAGACCCCCGAGAACCTACCGAGTGCCGGACCCCCGTCCGAGCGACCCCCGGCTTCACAGCTTGGAGAGGGGGAAATTGAGGCAGGAGAGGGTCACTGCCAAGACAGCAAAGGCAGGGGCCCTGCCTCAGGCACTGAGGTCCCAGCCGCCCGGCCCGGCCACCTGGCTCACACGGCGGGGACCACAGGGCCGTCCTGGGTAGAGGCGGGGACCCAAGGGGCTGGGCCGGCCATGGAGGCACAGAAGCTCGCCTGCGATCTTCCGGCCGCCACAAGCTAGAGGTGAATCGCTATAGAAAGACCTGGAGACTGGCTGGCCCCTCCCCACCTCGGTCCCTTGCAGACCACTGTAAAGTCAGGTGCCCCTGCTATAAGACTCCGTGGGGGCTGGGAAGGTGGCTCAGTGGTAGAGCGCTTGCCTTGCATGCCTGAGGCCCTGGGTTCGATTCCTCAGCACCACATAAGCCGAAAAAAGCTGGAAGTGGCGCTGTGGCTCAAGTGGTACAGTATTGGCCTTGAGCCGAAGAGTTCAGGGACAGTGCCAGGCCGAGTTCAGGCCCCACGACCAACAACAACAAAAAAAAGTCCCACAGATTTTCTTGAGCTGGCTGGCTTCAAAATGTGATACTAAGATCTGAGCCTGACTAGCTAGGATTACAGGTGTGAGCCATCAGTGCCTGGCAGGATGGATTTTCTTAAAAAAAAAAAAAAGAAGTGTATGAATGTGGCTTAGTGGTAGGTAGAGTGCTTACCTAGCATGTATGAAGCCCTGGGTTTGATTCCCCAGTACCACATAAACAGAAAAAAAAAAAGCCAGATGTGGCACTGTGGCTCAAGTGGTAGAGTGCTAGCCTTGAGCTGAAGAGCTGAGGGACAGTGCCCAGGCCCAGAGTTCAAGCAGCAGGACTGGCAAGAGAGAAAGAAAGAAAGAAAGAAAGAAAGAAAGAAAGAAAGAAAGAAAGAAAGAAAGAAAGAAAGAAAGAAAGAAAGAAAGAAAGAAAGAAAGAAAGAAAGAAAGAAAGAAAAGGAAGGAAGGAAGGAAGGAAGGAGAGAAAGAAAGAGAAAGAAAGACTGAGCTGTGTGCTGGTGGCTCATGCCTATAATCCTCCTCAGGAGGCTGATCTTAGGCTAGCAGTTCAAAGCCAGATGGGCAAGAGAGGCCATGAGCCTCTTACCTCCAATTAACCATCAGAAGTGGAGCTGTGGCTCCAAGTGGTAGAGTGCTAGCTAGCCTTGAGAAAAAAGCTCAGATAGCACCTGGGCCCTGAGTACAAGCAGTCCTAGGACCAAACAGAAGAAAAAATGTCCTTTAGGAAGGAAGGTTCTATAACTTTTTTTTTTTTTTGCTTATATGGTGCTGAGGAATTGAACCCAGGGCCTCGGGTATGCAAGGTAAGCATTCTACCACTGAGCCACCTTCCCAGCCCCAGGAAGGAAGGTTCTAGAATCATCAAGACCTAGGAATTGTAAGAGCACAGGCAAAAGCCTCATCCCAGCCTGGGAAAAATGGAGGAAGGATGAATTCTGCAATGGAGAAAGACAAATCGAGACGCAGGTCATACTAATGGGTGGGGAGTGTCTCCATCTTTTGAGGCTAGACCAGGGATCTGGATCTGATTTCATTCTTTTCCTCAGCCACTAGGGAACTCAGAGTGTCCTCTGGAGATATTGTAAGTATTCACATTTAATGATAGGAAACGCCAGGCTTGCTTTTCCTGACATAAGCCTTCCCGTCACTTCATTTCTCCTCTTCCATATTAAATCTTTGGCCTTGGACATTTTGTGAGCTGCTTCCTTGGAGAACAAGGCAGGGAGTAAATAAAGTTAGCCCCCTTCTTCTGTTGCAGACACAGCAGGTTGGGGGGCAGCTGTCAAGCTGGTCTCATGCCCCTCTCAGCTGCTGAGAGACTTCTTTGCTGACAGTGGCCTCTTCCCAGACAGGGTTGCATGCCAGGTCCCTCTGGGACCCAGGGTGGCTTGTCTGCCCATGTTTATTTGGGACAATACAGGACACTGTGGACTGGAAATGTCTCCAGGTTCCCACAAAGTTGCGCGCACTCCATAGGGATGACATAGTCCCTGGGGGAACTGTCGCCAGTGTTGCTAACCTGCGTCCACTGAGCAGGATGGAAATGGGCAAGCCCTGCCCACTGAGGCGCAGAGGGATGCAGGGGTAGGGCCTCAGATGTCCAGAGGGAGGAGAGACTGGAACACAGATCCCTGTGCCCTTGAGCCTGACACTCAGAGAAAAATGAGCTTCTCTTGGGCCCAGGGGCCACAGGGCATCAGGAGGTGGTCAGCTGGAGCTCATGGTCCTATAAGGTTGGGACTTAGTGGAGGTACCTGTCACTCTCGGGGGTGAGCTGGGCTATGAAGTTGATAGCCCTGGGTCAGGCTTTCCAAAGACCACTGCCTGGGATGTGGATTTTAGGGTTCTTATTGCCCCCAAAGTATGGCTGTGGGCTGCTACATTGCTCCTCTCTCTACTCCCCAGGGGCCTCCCTACCCCTCATATATTCCCATCTAGAGTTCGGAGATAACTCACAAAGTATTCACATCACCTCCCTTATGGCAGGGAGCCAGGGTGGTTGCTTCTGCCCATTGTGGCTTTTAAAGGAGACAGACTTGCAGCCATCATAGATCCGCCAGCCTGGATTGACTCAGAGCTTTCTGGAGGGGGAGGGTCCAGGGGCCTAAGGGAGGCACCAGCCTCCATTAGGGAAAGGTTTGGGTGACAACTAAACTGAGCTCTGAGGGGTCAAGGCCCAGATAATGGAGTGGGCTGTGAGGCAGCTGAGCAGGCCCAGGACCCATGCAGAATTCTCCTTCTCCCAGTTCACTGCAGCCATGGTGTGTCCCAGCTAGCCTGGCTCTGGCCCATCCCCATCTTCAACATGCCAGACTGCATCAGCTCCCAGGAGAGAGCCTGGCTCTTGTGGTCGGCCATCTGAGCCACACCACTGACCATGAATTATGCTGCCCTGCCATTCATCCCAGGTCCATGTCACTTATCCTGGCAGCAGCTCACCTCTGAACTCTGAACGGGGGCGGGGTCTGCTCACATGTCTGGGACTATGCTGTCCTCATCTGACCCGTCCATGGTGGCTCCTCAGCCTCCCGAGGGCCAGGCCAGGTCTCTCGACTATCAGGGCACAAGGCGGGCGCTTCAGGCCTCTGAAGTGAGACCTTTTGGCTTTGATCCCTTCCTCCCAGGGCTGGGTCATCTCTGCAAGTTAGGAAAACCTGAGATTCAGTTTCTCTCTCTGTAAAATGGATGGTAAGGTCCGGGCTTCCGAGAGTTGTGGAACATGGTGAGATGATACAAAGGGAAGATCAGGAACACTAGTTTGGTGAGACAAAATGGGTCCATCTGAGATGATTCCACGCCAATGGGATGTACGCACATACACGCGCAAGCGTGCGCACTCTGCTGGCTGTCAGCTGATGACCAGGAAGCTAGGCCTCCCTCCCCTCCAGCCTTCCAGAGTGCTCACATCCAACACCACATAACAGACATACACCAGCTCCTTGGAGAAATGATCGCTGGTGTGGCTGGGACAAGTGAGAGATGAGCCAGGAGCAGCTTGGACTGACAGAAGAAAGTGAAAAAGAAGAAAGTGGGAGGGTAAGAAAAAAAAGGAAGAAGGAAGGAGAGAATGAAAGAAAAAGAAATAGGAAAGGAAAAGAGGAAAGGAAAGAGAGAAAGAAGAATAGAAAGGAAGGAAGGAGCCAGCACTGGTGGCTCACGCCTGTAATTCTGTTCAGGAGGCTGAGATCAGAGGGTCACGGTTCAAAGCCAACCTGGACAGGAAAGCCTTTAGACTCTTTTTTTTTTTGGGTCCAGTCGTGGGGCCTGAACTCTGGGCCTGAGCGCTGTCCCTCAGCTCTTCAGCTCAAGGCAAGCACTCTACCACTTGAGCCACAGCGCCACTTCCGGCTTTTTTCTTTTTGCTTATGTGGTGCTGAGGCATCGAACCCAGGGCCTCAGGCATGCAAGGCAAGCACTCTACCACTGAGCCACCTTCCCAGCCCCAAGCCTTTAGACTCATCTCCAATTAACCACTCAAAAAAAACCCCAGAAGTGGTGCTGTGGCTCAAAATGGTAGAGCAGGCTGGGAATGTGGCTTAGTGTTTGCCTAATATGCATGAAGTCCTGGGTTTGATTCCTCAGTACAACATATAAACAGAAAACGCCAGAAGTGGTACTGTGGCTCAAGTAGTAGAGTGCTAGCCTTGAACAAAAGCAGGCCTTGAGTTCAAGCCCCAGAACTGGAAAAAAGAAAAAAAAAAGGAAGGAAAGGGAGAAAGAAAGAGAAAGGAAAAAGAAATTAGAAAGGAAAGAGAAGGAAGGGAGGAGTAGGAAGGGGAAGGGAGAGAAGAT